CGCCCCCCCCCCCGGAGGTCTGTCTGGTAAAGGAGCCGAACCGTGCGAGTTATTTTCCCGCGGGTGTTTATTTTTTTTTTTTTTACTCACCCTGGAAAATGGTGGCCTGGGAGCCACCGGGGGTTTATCCAGCCGGGGGAGGTGAAGGAAAGCGGAGAGACGCGCGATTCCCAGCGGTCAGATTTCAGCGTGAAGTAGACGAGCTGTAGGAAATGACAAACAGGGGGGGAATGGGGGAGCGGGAGGCGATCTGGAGATGTGTTACCCCGAAGCAAAAGCCCGGGGTTGGCAATCATAGCCGGATCGCTCGGGAGGATTTAGGAAAACCCTCGCGTTCGGGAGGGGAGGGAGGTCTCTACCCATTTTTGCTTCCGTGGGAGGGGGCTGTCGGGGGGCCACGGCCGGTCTGCGGGGCGAGCGCACGGTCGGTGTCGGGGCTGTGTCGGGCAAAACGCCCCCGCGCAGCCCGACGGAGCTGTTGACATTGCGCTTCGGCCGAATTGTCAACCGAAGCCTTTTTACGTGGGATGTGGTCCCTAGTGCCAGCGCGCTGGTATTGCTGACATCCCAGGAAAACGTTTACAGGATGCTCCTAGCCGTGCACTGTGACTGGGTCTTAGGCAGCGGGTACCAGTTCTGGTCGTCGCTGAGGACGGGTAAAACCGAGCCGAAGGTGCTAGAGACAGCCTCAGTGTCTGTTGGGAAAAGCCAGGTAACTCCATTGGGGCAGGTATCTGAAATACAGCATCCGACTGAAAAAAACAGGGACGGATACGCGCTCGGCCGCTTCAGGCCAAGGTACGGAGGAATGTGGCTGAGCTCCACGGAGGAATGTGGAAGGGTCTTTAGGGGAGTCAGGTTGTGAAAGACCAGCACAACCACAGCAAGCACCAGATGAAGACTTGGGAATCCCTTCTGTACTTATGGCAATACAGTTTTACGTATTTTTGTAAATAAACCTAACGGTATTGAAGGTATCTGACGTAATCACCGCATTATCTTCCTCACTAGAACAGCCTATGAGATGCTCAATTTTAGGTAGAAAGATGCAACATTCAATATTGAACACTAACACCCCCCCCAGCAATCTTTACAGTAAACAGAAAATTAAAATATTCAGAGGCAAAAAATCATCATGTGCCACAAAAGAGTACAGAAACACAGCGTACAGCACTGCCTGTTCATGCAACAGTTCTATGTGCACTGCCACGCTTGCAGAACTGTCTCCTTCTGTTCAACAAATGAGAATCCACAGAGAAGGAGGCAGCACCCACCACAAAAGAGATCACGCTCTTCGTGCACCTACACACTAAGAAAAAATTTTCTTCAGCTCAGATGGAAACCCATGCTACAACTACAAAGCGTTCCTGAACATTTTTTCAGATAGTAAATCAGTGAGCAAGTTTTTGAAGCCACTAAGTCAATCAAATGAAAATCATCTACTTTTCTATTAAAGTCACCAAAAGCATAAGTGCACCATGTACCTCTCCCAAATTTCATGTTGCAATTGCTTTCTTAGAGGAAGCTAGTATTTTTTCAAACAATGTAATATTTCACTCGTATATAAAAAAAAGCTGGACCACCCTTATTCCTTTTTTTTAATCAAACAATCAAGATTTAGTTGATGAAATACATACCTGAATAGCAACAATTAACAAATAATCTAAGCAAGCAAGACCAATCGGGCCCACTCTCTAAAAACCAGGAACTGCCAGCAACAGAAGAATATAAACTCTCTTATCTACGAAATTGTCAGCAAGTGAATAGGCCAGCAGTAAAACCACTAAGTTGAACCTAAAAAGCAGGTTGAATCAGGACAATGAGTCATCTTGAAATGCTAGTTTCGATTCTTATGAATGAAACTATTTTACCAGCATTCCTACTACAAAATAGCACTTGTGTAAAGGCTATCGAGCAGAGCTGTGAGTACTGAACTAACCGTATATACATCTTACTGCAGTATCAATTTCTGTAGTCATTTTACATTCAAATATGAGGAATCAGCCTTCTGCACATTAGTCTGTAACTGGAAAGTTCTCTTACAAGACTCTGCTACCTCAGACAACTCTGTCTGGTGCAGGAACACGCGCCGAGCTACAGTATGTTCCAAAATAATGATGCTGTACTAAGAGGCAAGTTTCTTTGCTTTTCTATGCCAAAGCAAAAGTGCTAGTTTTGTCAGTGAAGAAGCTGCAGGTCCAGACTAGAAAGACTCGTGTAATCACTCTATTCAAAAACAAAATAAAAAGAAAATGCAATTCATTATGAAATCCTGTGTATCCAGGACTGAAAGGTAATTCTGGAGATGGGAAAAAAAATGCTACAGCTTCCTCTGAGAAAGCTCTCTGATATCCCATGTTATCTATACCGACTATGTGCTTAGCTAGTTGATCCACAAAACTGTGGGTCACTTAACACCCATGAAATTTCACAAAATCACAACACAGCTGAGGCTGGAAGGGACCTCTGGAGATCCTCTAGTCCAGCCCTCTGCTCAGAGCAGGGTTGTGTCCAGTTGGGTTTTAAGTATATCCAAGGTTGGAGACTCCACAACCCCTCTGGGCTACCTGTTCCAATGTTTGACCACCCTCACAGTAAAAAGGTTTTTTCATAAGTTCAGTGGAACTTCCCATATTTCAGTTTGTGCCCATTGCCTCTCGTCCTTTCGCTGGATAGCACTGAGTCGACTCTGGCTTCATCTTTACTCCTCCTATCAGGCTTTTAGACACATCGATAAGATCCTCTCCCTTGAGCCTCCTCTTCTCAAGGTTAAACAGTCCCAGCTCTCTCAGCCTGTCCTCCCACTCCTTTCACCTGTGGTTGCACAAATGCCTCTTCCCTGGCTTGCTGCTTGGAAAAAGTACTTCATCCCTCAAACCCCCATTACTCAGCGACTGTGCTCCTAATGTATTTTTCTTCCATCCTGCTGTTGCAGTTTGACCCCAGCCAGCAGGTAAGCACCCACACAGCTGCTAGCTCCCTCCCCCCCGCCTCTTCCCCCAGTGGGACAGGGGAGGGAATAGGAAAAAAAGAGAGAAAACTCATGCATCAAGACAAAGATGGCTTAATAAGTGAAGGAAAAAAGT